TTTGAGTTATGATTATTATCTTAGTTCACTCCTGTTAGGAGATTTTGTTGTTTCTTGTGTTCACAAGCCTTTCTAGCAGCAGCACCGAAACATGGGAGCTAACGGTAAAGGCAATAATAAATGTTTCTTCGCTAAGAAGTTCTTCGGCAAGAAGGCTACTGCTGTTGATAACAACGGTTCTACTACTGATGATGTTGATGACCCTAACAATGTTCGAGTTGAGGACAACAAGTCGGTTTCTTATTTCACTCTGTTCGCTCTGGCCGATAAACACGACAAGATCATCCTTGCCATAGGTGTCACGGCCGCCTTGATAAACGGTGCTCTGATGCCACTGTTCTCGCTCTTGTTTGGCAACTTTGCTGATGCTGCTGCTGGTGGCATTGCCGGTTTCATGCATAGGATATCCAAGGTTGCTTGGGAAATGTGCGTATTGGGCGCGATTTCTTTCGTGGCTGCCTCCATTTTCAACGCTTGTTTTTCATATTTTTCTGAAAATCAAGTGACGAGGTTGAGAGTTAAGTACTTACAAGCTGTAGTTGGCCAAGACATTGCTTGGTTTGATGTTAGGACCCCTGCGGCGCTACCCGCTCGCATGTCTGAGGACGTCCTCAAGGTCCGTGATGCGATTGGTCAAAAAGCCTCTATGATGTGTATGAATGTTTCTATGTGTATTGTTGGTTACATTATTGCTTTTTATAGAGGTTGGCAAATAACACTTGTTATGATCGCTACCTGTCCTCTCATTATGGTGTGTGGCCTCTTCATGGCAAAGGCGATGTCGACTCTCGCTTCAAAGGGCCAGAATGAATACGCTGAGGCTGGCGCTGTTGCTGAGGAAGTGTTATCGTCCATCAAGACGGTCGCCTCTTTTGGTGGCGAGCAAAGGTCTATTGACCGGTACAATGCTAAGGTTCAGAAAGCGTTGAAATCTGGTGTAAAGGTGTCAGTTTACAGAGGCTTCGCAATAGGGTTTACTATGCTGGTGGTTTTCTGGACGTATGCTCTTACGTTCTGGTATGGTGGTACCTTGATCCGAGACCGTACCATAAATCCCTCAACTGGTAGACCTTATCAGGGTGGGGATGTATTGACGGTCTTTATGTCTGCTATGATGGCCACTTTCTCTATCGCTCAGATCGCCCCTCATTTCCAAGTAAGTTTCTATTCGAACTATGCCACTACATGTGTTGGTGACATTGTTATGAAATTTTGAGAAATTGCTGCTCTGCCATAATTGGTGTATAGCTTCTACAATTTTCTCAGCAGCTGAGCATCCTTCAGCAGTGTGTGGACTTATGCGCAGGATCAACTACATGTGTTAGTGACAATATCAAAATTTTTTGAGGAATGCTCAATGGTTTGTGTACACTCTTACCCTAGTTCGTGTATAAATTACTCACCTTAGCAGCTGAGATGAGTGGACATATATTCCTCCAGCACCAGCGTGAAAAATACGACAATATGAAAATTGCGATGAAATTTCTGAGTATTGCGAACATACATTTTTCCTCCCCTCAGGCGTTTTCTGAGGGCTGTGCTGCTGGTGGGAAAATATTCCCGCTGATGGCCGAGAATGCAGAGATTGAGCCTAAGGTGAAAAGACTATCCGAGGGAGGGGAAGCGGAGGCTAATATGATTCCGGTTGAGTTTCAATCTTTACAGTTGGATGACGTGAAGTTCAACTACCCAGCTAGGCCAACACTGCAGGTG